GAAGATGGGCATCGTCACCGACCAGGACAAGAAGGATGAGGAGGCTTAGACGAGTCCTTTCTTGCCTTGGTAGAGAGAGAACGGAGTAATTTGGAAAAAGGGATAGACTTTTGCGCGCGTTGGTTGTATGGATATAGAAACTGTTGATACCCCCGCTAGACAGCGGTCGCCTCACAAGGCACAATGAAAGCTTATGTTGGATGATTTACATCGACTCGTGGTCCACGGATGTGTTTCTGTGATTCACTTACCTCGCTACATCACCGGGAACATCATTAAACGCGCGCGGAAAACACTTGCCGACGGGGCAGGGATGATGAACTACTAAACGAGGGGATCACGACTCTTAAGCAAACAAAGTTTTGTACCACGGAACGGAAGAAGAAACGAACCGCCAAGGCAAACATGCTCCTGGGGTTCCCTAAGTCTTGTGTAACTTCCGTGACGTGAACCGCGGGTGCCACGGGACACGCCTAAAGGTTGTGTTGCCTGCCTCATGTAAGCCAAGCCTGTCAGAGTTCTGGGCGCACACGAGACTTTCGGCAACGACATGCGCCGCGGCTCTTCTGTCTTGCACCCATCTTCTACGGCCGTCTCAGAAGCTTCGACGCAGGGACAAGGCAAAAAGTATATCGCGAAGCTGGCCAGTCGTATCACGAGTTATACCGCGTGCTATAGGGATTGACTCGCAGACTGCAGCCGTGGAGAGAGATGCTTTGTAATCGGGAGTTGTCAGTGCGCCCACCACCACAATTAGCCCGCGGATGTCGCAGACATCACGAAATTGTCAGAGGCAAAAATACAGCACACGAAGCGCCTATCGCCAGTGTTCAGAACCGCAGAATGCAAAAGAATTGGGCCCTAACCAGGATTCGAACCTGGGACCTCTCCCATGCGTGTCGTAAAGACCCTAAGGGAGAATCATACCGCTAGACCATCAGGGCTGATCGGTTCTTCAATTGTTGCCAGGTGGCGCTTGTTGATGGCGGTGAAGGTCAAAAGTTGTAATATGTTTGGCTCTCAATAGACAGCGGGAGCTAATGCAACTCAGTGAGAGATTAAGTCTGGCACCTTCAAACTCATTCCAACCTTTAATTCCAAACAAGAGCAAACTCGAGAACCTTCTGCATCCTCCCCGACAATGTTTGAGGCGTATGCGAACAGGAAACTTTGCTGAGGCTTTATTTGTTCTCTGGGGAAAATGTTATCCGTTTGCGGACTGCATTGCCGCTGTTATGCTTTTTAATATGTATGAAGGTCAACCCTTGCTGTGTTACCCTGCCTTGCCCACCACCTTTCCGCAACTCAAAACTCATTTTCGATTCCTTCCAACTGGGGTTGTGCCGAAAAAGCCTATTCCTCATTCTCAAACGTCACCGAATGTGTCAGCGCCCAGTCCCGAATGTCGTTGAAGTTGCGGCAGGTGTGCAGCGTGCTGAAGTCGGGCCAGTGGCCCTCGAGCGGGAGATCCGGGTACATCTTGAATGTGAAGACGCCAATGTCGGCTTCGCACATCAGGTTCAATCTCAGGGCTTCGATGCAATGGTCTAGTGAGCTCGTTAGCAATGCGGTTTTCTCTGCATTCTTGCCACTCATGCTCATGGCTCATGAATCGTGGTGACTTACTCAGGTGTCCTCTCAAGTCCTTGTGCTCAACGGCCACGTCGCCGCCGACCTCTTTCCTTGAGTAGTACTCCGGGTACGTAGCTTGGCGGAGCAGGTTCAGGCAGTGAAGCTGGTGGAACACCTCCAGGCCGACACGGTAACCTTCCTCACCCGTGACGGCATTGGTGGTCTTGATTGACTTGGGATCGAGACCGAGCTTGTCGAGCTCGGCGCGCGAGATCATCTGGTCGCCGACTACGCCTCATTAGCTTCTATCATCACGTCACCAGCCATTGGGTCGTCTTCTTACTATTGTTTGTGATGTGATCCCATGCTCTGTCGATCTCGTATCCAGCACCGACAAAGGGTGACCAGTCCATAATGGGCGTCAGGTTGTACCTTTCGGTGTGGTACTTGATGATTCCTGCAGCAGGGGCTATGAACTGTCAGCCATGATGAAGGGTGATAGTTATTGGGCGATGATTCTTACACCATGACGAGTACTTCTCCGTCACCCAAGTATCGTCCTTATTGGTGTTGCCATAGCGAAGGCAGAATGATGCAGCAAACAGCGTGACAGACGTCGTCAAAAGCACGGCGTGAAGAGCCCAAGGCCAATACCGCAGAAGCCGCCGCGCCTTCTCTTTGCACGGGTGTTCATCGCCGAGCCTCATCCGTCTCCATGTCGCTTCGTTTCCTCCTGTGGCGGCCTCTACGTTCTCCGTGCTCTCCGTGTTGAGGCTTCCGGCGAGACTCTCGACTTCCTCCTCCTCGTGGGGTACGGACCGGTAGACCTTTTCTGAAGACATAATTATTAAAGAGAGAGGGACCCTCTTCGGCAGGCAAGGTAGTAGCACCGGAAGGTTAAGTTGGAGCACGCCAGGTGCCTTAATTAAGAAAGAATAGAAGGCGAAAGAAGGGATGCTGTCACGAATTTGACAGCAAGGGAATAGTACAACGACGTCAAGTCGGGTATAGAAACGGATGATGGGAATTGAAAGTGACCAAACAAGAAAGAGACAAGAAGGGAGAATAATAGAGTGGTAAGCACAGAACGGGGAGAAGGGGAGGGGAAACAGTTCGGAGGCAAGGCCAGCAGCTCTCTGAGAAGGTAAGAAGAGACGAGTGCCAAGACGATCGCTTCGGGCGCGGAAAATCAGATTACCAAACTAATGGGTGATCACAGACCGTCCAAGTCGATTAGTCGATGGGTGTGGGAAGAGGAGACTCGGTAGGGAGAGAGGGAGAGAGAGGGCACGGGCAAGAGGCGGCGTCAGCGAGAGGCTACGCGCCGCAACTATGTCCCAACTCGAACAATGACAGGACTCGACTTTGGAAGGGGACCCAGTTCGCTCAAGACCGAGGGAGGAAAAGTCGCCGTCTGGCAGGTGTGTGCAATGCAACCTCGCCCCGTTGGGATACTTGGGATCCATGGACCATAGTGGCATAGGCTCTGGATAGTCGGATGGAAATTGCCAGCTAGCGAGATGTCATCCAGCCACCAGAAACGTTTGGGCTGTTTGATCTTCGTTGCGAAGTTGCGGCACAGGCCAAGAAGCCGATCATCCCAAGCAAGAATAGACGAGACAGAAAAGAGGTCGAGTCCGTCACAGCTGGGGGTGGGACCGGGAATGTAAGTCGACTCGGTCAAGTTGCAAGCCATGGTTCAAGTGATCATGGGCAATACTGCGTGCTACGTGCGCCGTGCAGTGAGGGATGATAATAGATGGTCGGAAATAATTAGCCGCTCTCGTCCAATAACCACGGCGATGATTGGGCTGGCCCTTGTTGATGAACAATCCCATGAACGGGATTTCGTGCAGTCTTGGTAACATCTGCAGGGCTACTCATGTCAGGTTTAGTCAGGCCCAAGCCCTGGCTCTTGTATCCTTGTCTCCGTCCCTGCAGCAGGCTTTTTGCCTCGAGAATGTGATAGAGAGCTGAGAACCTTCTTCCCATAGTCAAGAGTTGAAGAGACTCAAAGAGAGAGAAAGAAGCAAAGAAAAAGGGGCCCCTGGTAATGGCACAGCTGAGGCGTTGGTGCGGTGTCTCAGAACAGGGGTGTGTCGAAACGCGGAGTTTGGTGCGACAGGGTATGGCTTGCGGGGGAGATCCCACGACCAGTCACCACGTTCCAGCGCCTCCAGCCCATCCCACAGGGGATGCACCGACCACTCACGAACGCCGCAAGGCGCCAGGGAAGAGCCCGGGCCGCCTATGAGGCTCAAAACCCGGCAACTTGATGCCGCATTGCTCATGGAATATCCACCACCACAGGACACCAACAGTGGTCGGTTTTGAGTCGGTACACCTTTTTAATCTTGACCCAGGTTCGGTTGCTGTCAGGTCTTGGCATTCTGGGACTGTGGCTGTATCAGAGGTCCCTTGTGCGGCTCATCCTCTCTAGCGTACGAGTAACAGTACGACAGGAGATGGCTGATGGATCATCACCGGGCCACCCTACCAGCGTATTTCCCCGACACACTGCGGCGTCGCGAAGACCTTCCGTAACGTCCTGTCGATCAGGCTTAGCATCAGATCGTGTTGGGGTCTGTCGAACGAGACGCCAGGCACAACGAGAGAACACCCTCGCTTTCCCCTGTGTGCTCCCCGTCTGCTGACCGCCCAGGGTAGTCTTGGAACTTCTTGGAACTGAAACTGCAAGCGAGTCCAGTACCACATCCATGTTCATGTCTAAAGGGAATAAGGTAGTATGCTTGTTGTCTTCTCATTGCTTGGTACGAGAAGTGCTCCGTATACGAGCTTTCGAAGTGGAGGACGACAACCATCGTCGATACCGCAAGCGCGGGATTCGGCTCACATCCTAGTCCAGGAACCTCCCTTCCAGCCTCCCCGCGTCCAGCATCTTGGTGCTGTTCGACATCATCAGCGTAGCCCCGACGAGTTTTGAACGAGTCCCATCTTTTGCGGCTAGCTCAGTCCGAGCAACTATCGCAAGCCGTCATAGCCCATGGCCCTGTCTCTCCACCCCCTTTCAGACCCTTTCCATCTGGTATCCCGACTCTGAGACGTTTCTGGTCCTACGCGGCAGGCCGATCAGAGTTTGACGCCTTCTAGTCGAGGCCCTTTTCGTCCAAACTTGGGGCTTCAACCCATGCCTTCGTCACTTAGTCGAATGGAGACTCGGGAATGGACCAAGTGCCGTGCCAAAAGGGGGGGTGCCTTGTCAACTCGCTGTGGAGGGACGAAAACGCAGAGGTCGTTGAGCAAGATATAATATCTTCTCAAACCCGCTCATCAGCCCACCATTGCCTGACCATCCGTACATCTCATTCCACTGTTGGCCCCTGATCGCTTGACGCGACCCTTCATTCCTTTCTCTTGTAATCCAGTTGCTGTCATTTGCTGCCGGTCAGCCAATCATTCTTTTCAAGATGCACTACCCATCCTTTGGCCACTTCCTCTTGGCGAGCATCCTTGCCGTCCAAGGTGTTCAGTCGTTGAACCTCATCCCCACGGGTCAGGTCGCCAGACGCTATGTAGTAAGTTTGCCTTCCACGATGAGTCTAAAGTGTGGGAACGCGAGGACTAATATGAGGTTAAATAGGCTCCCGCCTTGGCACTCGCCATGCCTGCCCTGGCTGCGCCCCAGGCTGCCAGCATCGAGGCTCGTGAGGTAAAATTCAATCTTCTCAAATGTGCTCAGATCAAAGAGTTATATATATACTAACACCTCCTCTCAGCCTCACCACCGCGGCAAGAAGACCAAGAAGGCCAAGGCCGCTAAGCGCGACGAGTCTGCTGTCGATGAAGCCTTTGAGGCTCACGACATCGAGGCCCGCGAGCCCCACCACCGCGGCAAGAAGACCAAGAAGGCCAAGGCTGCGAAGCGTGAGGAGTCTGCTGTCGATGAAGCCTTTGAGGCTCACGACATCGAGGCCCGCGAGCCCCACCACCGTGGTAAGAAGACCAAGAAGGCTAAGGCCGCCAAGCGCGAGGAGTCTGCCGTCGACGAGGCTCTCGAGGCTCGTGATATTGAGGCTCGTGAGCCCCACCACCGCGGCAAGAAGACCAAGAAGGCCAAGGCCGCCAAGCGTGAGGAGTCTGCTGTCGACGAGGCCCTCGAGGCCCGCGATGTCGAATCCCGCGAGCCTCACCACCGCGGCAAGAAGACCAAGAAGGCCAAGGCTGCTAAGCGCGACGAGTCTGCCTCCGACGAAGCCATCGAGTCTGCCGAGCACGAGATTGAGGCTCGCGAGCCCCACCACCGTGGAAAGAAGACCAAGAAGGCGAAGGCCGCCAAGCGTGACGAATTTGTCTCTGAGGAGGCCGTCGAGTCTGCTGAGCACGAGATCGAGGCCCGTGAACCCCACCACCGCGGCAAGAAGACTAAGAAGGCGAAGGCCGCCAAGCGCGATGAGTCCGCCTCCGACGAAGCCATCGAGTCTGCCGAGCACGAGATTGAGGCTCGCGAACCCCACCACCGTGGCAAGAAGACCAAGAAGGCGAAGGCTGCTAAGCGTGACGAGTCCGCCTCCGACGACGCCGCTGAGCACTCCGTCGAGACCCGCGAGCCCCACCACCGCGGCAAGAAGACCAAGAAGGCGAAGGCTGCCAAGCGCGACGAGTTCGCTTCTGAGGACGCTGCCGAGCACGCCGTTGAGGCTCGTGAGCCCCATCACCGCGGCAAGAAGACCAAGAAGGCCAAGGCCGCTAAGCGCGACGAGTACGCCGCCGTTGAGGCTCGCGCTTTCACCGCTTAAGGGGGGTTTCCAACTTTGTGGCAGACATGGGGGCCAACAACTTAATGCTCTGACCCGGGCAACCCTTGAGTTGAGACGACCGCCAGTTCTTCCTTGTATCTAGAGTCCGAAATTCACAGCAAATTACATCAAGTTCGGATTCGGTTGACTGGTTCGCGTTCGCAAACCAACTTGGCCAATGCTGTGTTGTGTAGACTAGAAAATCAGCTTCTCATTTTTCCATATATTTTTAACAGTAATAATGACAGTATCAAAGTGCATTTTCTCTTGGCCCAAACATGTCCTTGGTCGTGCGTCGTTGACCGTGAAACTCTACTGCCGTCGCAAGGCCGGCAGACTTCGGTCTGATTCTTTTTTTCTCCTTTGCTGCTTGCATGAACCGCAACGTGTTGCGACGAAATTAGTGTTTCGCCTCAAAGTCATTCCTGACGTTGGGACGATATCGAAACATCTCGGAGCCGGACCGGCCGCCCATTGCGGAGGCGGGGTGACTAGGACACCCCTCGTTATCGCGCTCGTAACGTCCGTATGGTGGATGCGAAAGCAGCGGAGACCCCGATCAAGATCCCAAAGACCAGTTGACGGACATCCATGGTAGAAGTACGCGAATAATTGACCCGGGACTGGCGATATCCGAAAATGCCATGACGTGTGTCGTTTGTTGGAGCCACTTGACCCAGCAACGTGGAGGCTCACGAATTTCCACATTGCCAAGAGTTGCTGTTCGAACGTGATCTACCAGGGACGCCCAGTGATTCGTTTCGGAAAGGATCATTGCCAGGAACTGCGAGCCTTGGGTCGCAGCAACTCGTCAAGATCGCTTTCGGTCCTTTCCCCAAGAACCCCCGTGGTCTTTTGCTCATCTCCCGCTGATTTGTACCATCGATTGAACCGTGGATCATGGACGGCCATCTCCCGAACTAGTTCCACTTGGCAGTTCTCAACTTCATCACAATTCCAGTATGTAGCCACATGGAAATAGCAGACGAGACGGGAGGCCTGAGCATAGCCGAACATTCGCATCTTCCATTCCAATTGGTATGGCTCGCGACCGTAGGCTGATTCTTTTTTTGACTTTGCTCGAATTCCCAAGGGTCAAAGCGAACTTCCGTCATCTTGTCTGTTACATTAAAGACCGCAAAGTCCGGCTGGACCAATGCCAGCTCGTCGAGACCGAAGCTAGAATGTTGACTAACATCTTTTTCATCGACTCTCTTTCATTATATGTGGATACCGTGTTTCTTGAGCTTGATGTGATCGAATGCTTGATTGGCGTTCACCGTGTTGATGATGTGCATGATGGGTGGTCGTGGAGCTCTCAGGTAAGCCTGCAAGTGTCCCTGGCACCTCAGGTCGCGATTGGAAGAGCGAATGCCTGGCGAGGCTTATGTAATGCACCCACGCTCCGCCTCGAAGTGATAGCTTTATCTTATCGATAAGATACGGCTGAGGCAGCTGGATGGTGGGGTAAGTGCTTCCATTGTCACCAGCATCTCCAACCTTCCTGTGAGCCTAAGCCGTCCCTCAACGTCATCTCCTGCAAACACAACTGCTCACGCGGAAACGAGCAGTCAAGATGGAGACAGCTCTCAAGTCGTGGGGTATGTCGTGAAATCTTCTACACTGTCGCCATTGCCGCGCCCAATACAGCTGACCACTTGCTCTAGAGCTCGACAACAACGTAAAGTTGGTTGACACCAAACGCGACGCTCTCTACAACCTCGACCACGATGCCCAGAAGGAACAGATGAACGCCCGCCCGTGGGCCGCGAACCCGAACCACTTCAAAAATGTCCGCATAAGCGCCGTGGCTCTCATCAAGATGGTGATGCACGCCCGTTCCGGCGGCAACCTCGAGGTGATGGGTCTCATGCAGGGCTATGTCAATGGCGACACTTTCATCGTCACAGATGCCTTCCGATTACCCGTGGAGGGAACCGAGACGCGCGTCAACGCCCAGGGCGACGCCGAAGAATACATGGTCGAATACCTCAGCCTCTGCCGTGAGCAGGGCAGAATGGAGAACGTCGTCGGATGGTATCACTCACATCCGGGCTACGGCTGCTGGCTGTCCGGCATCGACGTCGGCACCCAGGCGCTACAGCAGCAATTCCAGGAGCCCTTCCTCGCCGTCGTCATCGACCCTGACCGCACCATCAACGCAGGCAAGGTGGAGATTGGAGCTTTCCGAACGTACCCCGAGAACTACATCAAGGAGAAGGAGGGCGGGGCCAGCGGCAGTGGCGTTACCAGCGATGGATGGCAGGAAGTCCCTCTGGCGAAGGCGGCAGAGTTCGGCGCTCACGCGAATAAGTACTACAGCCTCGAGGTGTCCCATTTCAAGAGCACGCTTGAGTCCCAGATGCTGGAGCTGCTGTGGCACAAGTACTGGGTACAGACGCTGAGCCAAAGCCCGCTCATTACGAATCGCGACTACGGAAACAAACAGATGCTTGATCTCGCATCCAAGATCAAGGAGACTACGACACAAGTCGCCCGTCAGGGACGGAGTGCTCCGGGAACGGGTGGTGTCGGCGCGGCCAGTAAAAAGGTCGACGGACTGCTCGAGAAGCTCGTGAAGGACAGTAATACTGTGGCGATGCAGGAGCGGACTGGTCTCGTTGCGATGGAGGTGAAGAAGAAGATCTTTAATGACGTGAGCGCGAACGCGTCGTGAGTCTGGTAGAAGTTTCGCTTTGTTGCTTGGCCTCGATACAGGTCTTCGCGAGGTCCTGGGCATGATAGATGGCGTTCAGAGGATAGGGTGGGCTTTGGCCCCGAAATGATGACATGATTTTGAGCCGTAATCGCTGCTGTAAAATGATGTTTTACCTGATTGAAGTGCCTCCGCTGATATCCCACTAAGTCTTTCAAGCCCTCTAGCCTTATCGTGACTGTTTGAGCTGCCCGCGTGAGGCTTGAGCTTGAACACGATCTTGAATCGTAAGCTGTTTTCCGGGTGAAAAGTGCACACCTAGTATCCCGCGAATACATTGCACCTAAAAAGCTCAGCCTCAACATACGATGACCTTCAGATGACACGTTCCAAGGGGCCGAGACGATTCATTTCAAGCTGGCATCGAATACTCAGCAGACGAAAGCAGCCTCTGTGCCGATGAAGTCCCTCCCTTTCTTCGGTTCTCTGCCAAAGGTAGGAAATAAATTTCGCAGCCACATCTGACCTTGTTAGATGTGCATGCCTTCCTACTAATTCTTTCGGTCCAGTCATAGGCTTTCCGACTAAATATTTGCTGTGTTACACAGATCACTCTGAACTTGCAATTATCGAATGCATCAGACCGGTGAGAGCTCCTAAGTAACTTGGCCGACCAAGTGATGTCAAATTTCCCCAATCATGCTCATTCACGAATATTTAATCTCTCTTATAACACTTGCAAAAGGTCCCCTTCCCGGACGAACCAACGCCGTTCCCCATCGTCAGTGACCGAAACATAGCTAACATCACCTGACGGCGGGTCCTCAGTAAAGCTTCTCGGCTTTCCCTTGCTCCAGCACTACATCACGCTCTACGTCTACGCCTTGTCTAGTGAGAAATACATGCAGATGCACAATCATGTTTGTTTGCGCTAGGATGAGACCCAGGAAGACCGGCTCAAGTTGCGCGTCGCCGGTCCTCAGCAAGAAAACCATGTCCAGAGCCAATGCCATCCAGTATCTCAATACTGTCATCCAGAAACGAGTAGCTCATTTCTTGTCAAAGAGCTTCTTCCTTCAGCCCTGATCGAGTAGTAGGTTCATCGCTCAACGCATCCGTGCAGGAAACGACCATCTGGCGCGATGTCCGACCTTAGATGTGGCATTTCCCAAGCACACTGGCTTATGGAGTGTACTTCCCGAATGTCACCACGTTCATGTCGAGCGTAAGCCAACATCACTACTGTAGAGAATGATTCAATGATCATAGCTATTAGGTGGCGATCTCTGGTAAAAACGCACCGATGGAGTGCTTGTCCCGCCACATATGAAGACAAACCTCTCAGACATCACCAGCTCTCTGGACTCAATTGAAGGTTCTTCAGAGAGAGTGGATGAGCAACGGCTTTCAAAGACTGGCTATATGTATCAAGGAAGTGATTATTTCTCCAGGGTCGTAAACGAGGTAGAGGTAATGCAGAGGACCACTCAGGCATTGCGACGTAAGCGGATGTGCTGGGCTCACGTTCCCGAGCTCTATGATGTCTCCTTTGCTTGCGGTTCTGGAAAGAAATACTGTCGCCGACCGATTCGAAACCGCAAACCTAAAGCTTTGGCTCCTGACCTCCAGAGTAGTAGTCTAGATGAGAGCATTGGATCCTAGACTGGAACCACGTGGCCCATCTTAGCCTCCACGGCCAAGGGCAGAATACCTGGGCGCTTTAGGCTTCTACGATAGACGGGCCCCTCGATATGGGCATTAGGTACATGGGGGCGCGAACAAGGGCATATTCACATCCCTTCAAGTTCCGGCCATTTGCCTAATATCATCCTATGGCTCCCTTTGCTATATTTTCCATGTACCCATAGATCCGCATTTAACTTATGAGATGAAGATTCAGAGCATGGCGGTTAAGCGTCTGTCATGTTCGTATTATGGGATACAGTCATATGATTCGCTGTGTCACATTGGAGATAACATAAGAGTCCTCTGAGGTATGTTTCATCGTATTATCAAGATGATTGCATATTTAGATGCATACATAGACGAGTTGGTATGCTGAGCTTCGGAGGTCAAAACATTGCCCTATTTCAAGACGAGACCTACGTCCGCTCCTCATCCACCTCGTCATCAGTCCTTTCGAAACGGTGCACAACATGCCAGAGATCGTCCAACGACGTCTTCCAGACGAGGCTCAGACGTAGCATCTCGCCAACTCGACCACGAGGTAAAAGGCCTCTAGCTTCTCATAGGTGAGTTGGTCATCCCGAGTAAACTGAACTCTATGATCCATGTATCTTGGAAGAGCCTGGCATTGCCTTCCGTAGATCAACAATAAATGTGACTCTCTCAAAGAGCAAGACGCAAACCGCGTCAACTCTGACGAACCTACCGAGGCCGAGAGGAACACTTCCTAATCTGCCACTCACTTAGTCTCACTGTTCCCGCAGGCTTTTACCTTCCACCATCATAAGCGCCTCATGCCGGTCGGCGAAATATCAACGATAGTCCAGGCCCCGGAAACCGATTCTCAACGTATGTATCGAAATGGCCTCTTTCCTTCTAGACCTACCGCATCCCGTCATGGTCCGTCCTCTTCCATCGGCACCCTTCCCTAGAAAGGACGGCAGAATACCATTAACGACTTCGTCCATCATTTATCGCTTAGGCCATTTCCGCATCAATTCCTCTGATATCGGACACATGTCGATACCTGTCCAAGCAGCAACAAGCTACATGGCTCAAGTAACCCCCCTAAGACTGACCCGTTCTCAGAAAACATCGTCACGACCAACGTCCCAATTTCAGCCTTGTCCAATCCCAGGGTTCGCCGTCGAAGTCGATCGAGTTCTTCGAAATAAAAGTCGTCCGCCTCGCTCCAATCGTATCCCCTCACCATCTCTCCTCTTGTTGACACCTCAAACCTCTACCCTTCCCAGTCGGCCAACAGCATCCATCATACTTTGCACCAGGCAAAGCCAGTCTCCCATGCCATCCACTCAACCTGAATCCCGGCCCGTATATCCAATTGCCTGTTGTCGTCGTCGTCGTCTTCGTCGTCGCCGTCGTCTTCGTGCTTACCGTATGATCCTCATTCATCCCGGGGCGATGGAAAAGCCTGGTCCTTCATCGCGATTCATATAGCAGCCAACGCAATCGATATCAATCACCTCTCATAACCCCCAAGCACAACCTCAGCCCCAGACCCTCAACCAAATATTCCGCGAGAAACCTGTAAACCAAGCCATCAAGCAAACGAGAAAGAAAAATAAAAGTCAAATCCAAGAGAGTCCAAGGGGGAAGATACCCTCCCCCTAAATACACGCTCCTTCCCCTCCTTCTCCAAGTACACCACCCATCCCCAAAATGTCGCCATCCAAGAGAACAACACGTAAACACCATATTCGCATCACCTCACGCAATCCACGCCACTGAACTTTCACACTCTCACATTCTATATAGCCTCTGCTGTACAATCTCTGTAACTCGTTGTAACTTTGTACCACCAACACTAGTCTCTCGATACATCATCCACAGACCCATCACGCAACCAGACTAGAATCTACGTGTCACCCAACGCCTCAATCGAAACTCGATCAACCGTTTCGCCAAACACGAAGCTTCACACCATCACCATAACCATCACCATCGCCGCTACCGTCCCGTCCCCTCCCACCCCCCCCCCCCCGCAGTCCCATCACCACCGCACACACCAAACGATCCAACCACCCATCTCGCATCCTCCCTCACCGCCTCACAGCCTCACCGAT